CTCCGAGATTGTCCCTTTTTTCTGTTTTTATTTTTTTTTGTTAGGAATTAATGGTTGTCCAATTATTTGTTACATTTATTAGTAAAATTCACTGATTTATTACAATTATTTATATAATTTAATTACTTTTATTAGTAAAATTGACTGATTTGTTACAACTATTTATATAATTTAATTACTTTTATGATCATATATATATAATTAAAACTAATATATATATATAATTAAATTTTAATAAACTTAATAACTTCAACTTATTGGTATTACTAAACTTAATCAAGCAAGTTATAAATTATCATATAATATTAAAGTTAAGTATAAAACATCGTCTTTGAAAATCTTTTAACCTTTACATACGTATAATATAACAAAATTTAAAATCACAAATTCATATCAAAATCATATTTCACATTCATACACATGATATGTATATTTTAATATATCATTAACTTAAATATTCATTTGTAACATATATATTATGTATAATATTGGTATTTGAATATCTCCATTTACATTTTATAACAATTACTATATAAGATCTATATAATAATAAATGTTCATTATACCCTCAGTTTACATATACATTTTGTAATACAAAATAAAAAAGTTTATTCTTATACCTATACTTAATACCAATGTTAGATATACATATTTTAAACCAATATATAGTAAAAGTACCATTAAAAAATTCACCATAAATTAAATTATAATGAAACTAAATTAAAATATTCATCACTAAAAGATTTCTCTACAATTATATATACATATACATATATATATATATATGTACATGTATATGTATATATTAACACCAATATCAAGATGAGCAATACCTGCAACGAGTTGAGGTTAATAAGTCCATTAAAATTTAATTATATATATGGTATATAATAACTTTGTATAGACTATTAGATTGTGTCTTGCTGATAATGCAACAACTCGTACTATTCTCAACAGTAAACATTGTTTATGATATTACAAATATATTTGAAGACTCTAAAAGAGCTATTATACTTCTACAAAAAAGTATAATAGGAACTTGTTAAGTTTCAAGGATATTAGTCTAAATGGATACTATATTGAGACAAACAATGAATGAGATATGAAATATCTTTATATCAATACAATTGAGTTAAATAAAAAATGTGTATCGGAGAAATTATCAGTCTTCTCTTATGGCTTGTACTAGACATATAATAGTACAATTGAAATGCATGGCATTGTAAGCCAAAAGCTTTCGAATTAAAATGAATTTCTTGTTTAGCATGATTGTTTGGGTCATCCTACATCTACAATGATGCAAAAAATAGTCGAAAACTCATATTGACACCCACTTAAAAGTCAAAATTTTCTTCAGTCTAATGATCTCATGTATTGCAAGTTCATAAGGAAAGTTGTTGACAAGACCATCACTAGAAAAAAATTAGAAATGAGTCAATCTCATTTTTAGAACAAATACAAGGTGATATTTGCGGTCCAATACACCCATCATGTGGATTGTTAGATTTATTATTTTTATCTTATCTTTATCTTTTATCTTTAGTTAGTTTGTTATTTTTTTCTTATTTGTATTTTGGATTTAGCATATATTTCTTCTATTACAAATAGAATACCCTATGTGTATATTCAACATAAGAGAGATTAATTTCATACATAGTTTTCACTATATTCAACATGGATCATTTAGATATTTCATTATTTTAATTGATTCATCAACTAGATGGTCACATTTGTTTATTATCAATTTGCAGTCGAGCAATTACAAAGTTATTATCACAATTAATTAAGTTAAGAGCCCATTCCCAAATTATCCGATTAAGAAAATCCATCTTGATAATGCTGGTGAATTTACATCTCATGATTTTCATGAGTATTGTATGTCAATTGAAATTGAAGTTGAACATCCAGTAACACATATTTATACTTAAAATAGACTTGCAGAATAATTAATAAAACATTTAAAATTGGTTGCAAGACCATTACTTATGAGAGCTAATCTTCTAATGGCTACTTGGGATTGAGATATGTAATTTTGCATGCTACAATAGTAATTCGCATCAAGTCAACACATTATCACAAATACTCTATTATGCAAATGGTTTTTTATTAATAACATAATATTTCTCATTTAATAATTTTTAGGTGTGTTACATAGGTTTCAATTTCCCCACCAAAAGAGAATATGATGAGTCCTTAGAGAAGATTGAGAATATACGTTGGATTTGATTCTCCATCAATAATAAAATATCTTCAACCCTTAATAGGAGGCTTATTTACAGTTTTATTTGTTGATTGTCATTTTGATGAGTAAGGTTTTCCAACATTAGGGGGAAAAAAATAATTGGAAAAAGATATTGATTGGAATGAATTATCATTATCTCGTCTTATCATTACGACTTACCTAGCATAGGACACCATCGTGTTTTCTTATTATGAGTCATCTTGGAAAAATTAAGATTCTCGAAAGTGGAGTCAAATGTCAGTGTTGTATGAGCCATTTTGGATATGATTTGTGGACATTTGATTGATAATTGATTTGAAGAAAAATGAATTTGACTATATCATACTTTAATTTGAATAATATGAATTGTTATAATTATACTAACTTACCCTAGTTTACATTGTGTTGTGATTTGTTCACTTGCAATGTAGTATGTTATGCGTGAACAAATAATAGTGTATGTAAGAAAGTTATGAAACGATTAGATTACAAATGGTCTTTCTAAAGGATAATTATTATTTAAGTATATGTTTTTTTATTATACAAATCCTTATAATTAATAAGTATTATTTATCTTTCAACAATTTTGTTTTGTTTTCATGAAGAATTTATAAATATATTTTATATATTTATATCTTGATTTATGTTATTTTATAAACTATGTAATATCTTAAATTAGTAAAGTGAATCCTCTTAAATTTAGGTGTTTCAACTTAGATAAAAAAAATTCATCTTACAAATTGATATTTTAAATCTGTTCTTATTATTATGCATGTTACTATATATAGATAAATATGTTAATATTTCTATATAAAATATTACTGCTGTCAAAAATAGGTTGTAACCCGCGAGTCAATCCGACTCATCATGAGTTTGAGCTGGATTGGGTTTGAAAAAAATGTAATTTTTTTTATGCGGGTTAATTTTCAACTCGGCTCACCGGATTGAACCCGTGTGAGCCAGGTTGGCTCACCAACCCACTTAATTTAATTATTTATTATTTTTTGTTTCAATATTATTAGTTAGCATTTTTTTATTATATTGTAGATAGTGATAAAGAAAAAGATGTTTCAATTGAGAAAAATATTATAAATTTATTTATTCAAGACTCTAATATTATAAATGCACAAGTGATACAAAAATTATCAATATTAAAAACTTATTTGTTTGTCTCTTGTACATGTTTTTTATTACGATACTTTTTTATTTTGAATTGTTTTTGGAGTTTAAGATCATTTTAGTGTGACGTTTATTTAGATTTAAATCAAAAAACATTTTAATTTTTTTATTTTAGAAAAAACTTATAATTAAATGAGCCAGTGAGCCAACCCGTTTAGAGTGTTACTCCCTTCACCACCCCATCTTCTCCCTCCACCCTCCAATTTTTTCTAAATTCCAATCTTACTCTTTTTACTTCTACCTTTATCTATTTTACTTTTTATTTTTTAAAACCCTAATCCCCTTTCACTTTCACTCTTGCTCTGAGAGGCAAGCCTCCACCCCCCACCCCCACTTTCACTTTCTCTCTTTCTTTTCAATTTCTACATTCGATAACACATAATCTAATTAATCCCCACAATCTTCTTCGCTAACAGTGTCACGAGTCCTCTTCACCTTCTCTACGTCACCACTATATATACCCTGTGACTTTGAATATCAGAATTAGTTTATTGAATTTACACCACATTGAGAAATCCTCACATCCACATATGTTGATGAACTACCACATGAAATTTATTATTCAAACTGTCAACTTCTTTCCATTACTTTTTAAAAAATATGACAAAAGTGATCAAACCATATATAATATAATGTAACTAAGCTTTCAAGAATAAAGAATGAAGAAAAGACAGAAATTGAGAATGATGTTAAGGGATGTGGAAATTGAAAAGAAAGAGAGAAAGTGAAAGTGGGTGGGGAGGCTTGTGTATGAGAAAAAGAGTGAAAGTGAAAGGGGATTAGGGTTTTTAAAAATAAAAAGTAAAATGAATAAAAGTAAAAGTAAAAAGGGTAGGATTGAAATTTAGAAAAAATGGGAGAGGTGGAGGGAGAAGATGGGGTTGGTGGAGGGAGTAATACTCACCCGTTTAACTCACCAAATCGTGGTAGGTCGGGCCGAGTTCGAATTTTTTCAGCTCGCTAATAAGTGAGTCGGGTTAGGTTGACTCACTAAGTGACAAACCCGTGGTGAGTCGGACCGGATTGAGCCAGGTTACATATTTTGACAGCTCCTCAAAACTATTTAATATATATATACAAGAAGTGTGAATGAAAAAAAAACATATGAAATTGATATTATATATATATATTTATAATAAGAATTTATTTAAATTTTTTATTCAAAATTAAAAATAAGAATATATTTATAATTTTTATTTATTTATTGTTATGTTCAGTGAAATCAAATGAAAAAGGAAGTACATTTCTAGTTATTCCAAAAAAAAACTTTTATTCTATATTAGATTTAGTCCCATATAATTTGTTAACAGAATAATACAAGTACTAATAATAATTTTTTAATATAATTTTTAATTCATTCTCCTTCATACTTTTTTTTTGTTCTATAAAAATAACTTATACTTTTCATTTATCTCATTTCTTTTTTCCTCTTTTTCTTCTCTTTTACTACCTTTTTTTTCTTTTTACGATAATAATAAATATTTTGCTTTTAATTTTGTACTTATTTATTTATTCAAACCTTTTTTTATTAATGTTTTTGTCTCATGTGTTTTTCCCTCTCTTAATAAAATACAAAGAACAAAAAATCCTGTCTAAACAAAAATATCTACATCGAACACGCGCACCCTCTCATGGCAAAGATATCGCGCCACACATTCTTCTATCGATTCAGAACCCAAAGAAAAACGCTTTTAGGATTTAAGGCGAAACTTGAAGTGCCAGGGAAAGTTGCAGTTTGAATGATCGAATCCCCAATCACTGCCTAAGGTATTTATATTCCCTGCTTCCTCAATAATTTGGGATAGTATTTATTCAATCATTCTTAAAGGGTCAAACCCAAACCTTCATATCTTATTGGAAATTGAAAGTGGAAAAAATTTTGTACTTGACTTCAAAAAGGTTTTCTTTCATTAGATCCAATCCTAGTATTGGCATTTGACAGTTATTTTTTTTTGTTGACAATTTTTTGGTGTAACTGTGAGAAGTGAATTTATGATATGTTTGAATTTCTTAGATCAGGTGTGGTTGAAGGAAAAGGGACAACAGTGGAAATTGAAGTTGAAGACGGAAAAATGCAGAGTGATGGAGATAAAAAAGAGGACATGGACAGGCTCAGTGACATGCCTAACTTTGTCTTACTTCATATAATGAAATTTATGAGCATGAAACAGGCTGTTCAGACTTGTGTCTTGTCTTCGAGATGGAACGAACTTTGGAAACACCTAAGTGATTTGGCTTTGAATTCCTCAGATTTTACCAATCTTACACATTTCAGCAAATTTGTTTCTTGGGTTATTTCGAATCGAGACAACTCTATTTCACTGCATAGTCTAGATTTGAGGCGTAAAGGCTGCATTGATCATGAACTTCTGGATAGGATTATGGGGTATGCTGTGTCACACGATGTCCAGCAGTTGACAATTGAAGTTAATTTAAGTGTTATACTTGGTTTTAGGTTGCACCCTTGTGTCTTTTCTTGTAAAACATTGACATATCTCAAGCTTTCGATTTGGGCTGTACCTTGGATGACCCAACTTCCGAGTTCCTTGCATTTGCCAGCATTGAAAAGCTTGCATCTTGAGCACGTCACTTTTACTGCAAGTGAAAGTGATTATGCTGAGCCCTTTTCAACTTGTCACATGTTAGATACTTTGGTTCTTGATCGTTTTAACTTGCACCAAGGTGTGAAATTCCTCTGTATATGTAATTCCAACCTTTCTAGTTTGACCATTGGTAGTACCATTCAAGAAGCGCCTTACAAATTTGTGCTTTCTACTCCAAACCTTAGATATCTTACTGTGATGCGTGATCCTCTTTACCAACTCTCTGCATGCAAACTTTGTTTTCTTGAACAAGTAAGCATTGACTGTGAAGCCTATTTTCATACTCATTTTGAACGGACTTATTCAGCCCTTATAAGTCTGCTGCAAGTGCTTGCTGATTATGTAAAGATAATGATACTCTCTTCAAGTACCCTTAAGATTCTACATGTAAGTTTTATTTTGTTTTTCCTTTGTATTTTACTTTTGATACTGCCCATAATATGTTCCATGTGCCAAATTTCTATCCGTTAGTCAATCTTGCTTTTCAAATTATCTTTCAAAGTGTGTCTTCAATCAACTCTCGTTGTGCAGGGTCTCTCAACTTCTGGTTCAATGATAACTCAAATTCCTTGTTTTGTTCAATTGAAGTCATTGAAATTGAAAGTGAAATCTTCGACAAACATATCCGATGATGGAGTTGGCAGGATAGTAGAATACTTACTTCAAAAATCCCCTTTTGCCAAAGTGGATATTATAAATTGCTGAGTGATATCCATGCACACTTAAATCTTCAGGTAGCGTGTTTTACATATTGTTGAGTTCATGCTTCGTTTATGTTTCCTTCTAATCCTGATACTCACGTTGTCTCTTCTCAATTCTTAGAGCCACAGCAACTAAAGATTTCTATATTATGAGGTCCTTTTTGCCCCATTGTAGCCTTGCTTTCTTTCCCTATATTTGGCTTTACAGATGACAATTTTTAAGTATTACTGCGGGGAGCTATGTGTTTGATACATGTTATTTCTCACTCTTACCTCAAATATTAAATAACACAGACACACGTCACCTAGAGGGGAGCTGAATTAATTCTGTTTTGCTTTATGGGACAGCTGTGCTTTCCCCTGCTGTATTAGTGGTGCAGTGCACCGATTTCTGTTTTCTCTTTTCTGTTAGCATAAGTGTCTATTTTCTTTTTTCGGTTAGTGTTTGGCTGTATCTATTTATTGTCTCCTGCAGCTATGCTTTCAATACAATGAAAATATGATACACTATTTTAGAACTAATTTCCTTTTTAACTTTTCTGATATGGTATCAGAGCTCTGATTATCAGAGCTCTGGTTTGCTACATTCAATCATGGATATTGATCCATCTCAAGACCCTTCATCACCATATTATCTTAACCAATTTGAAAACCCATCTTTGGTTCTTGTTTCTTTCATTCTCGAAGGCCGCAATTACCACCAATGGTCACGAACGATTAATGCAGATGAGCTTGGTTTCTAAAAATAAGCTTGGTTTTGTTGATGGAACCATCTCACCTCCAGTCCGTGCTAGTCATATATACCCAGGGAGAGAGCAAACATGATGGTTGTGTCATGGCTTCTGCGATGTCTTTCTCCTTGCACTGCCCAGAGTGTCATATGGAGAGACACTGCTTCAAGTATTTGGTCTGATCTTGAAGAGAGGTTTTCTCGGGGAGATTTGCTTTGCATTGCAGATCTTCAAGACACTATCATATCTCTCAAGCAAGGGGACCTAAGTGTCACCAATTATTTTATCGAACTGAAAACTCTCTGGGATGAACTTGAGGTTTTTCGTCCAATCCCTATTTGTAGTTGTGCCATTAAAAGCTCTTGCAAGGCCTCTGTCAACACTGGGAAATACAGAACTCAGGACCAAGTGATTAAGTTTCTTCAAGGGTTGAATGACGGGTATTCCATTGTGAAGTCCCAAATCATGTTAATGAACCCCTTACCACCCCTGAATCGTGTCTTTTCTCTGGTTGTTCAGCAAGAAAGGCAAATGTTTGGTGAAATTATAGAACACTCCAAGATTATGGCTATTGGTGGTAAAGGAAACAGCGGAGGAAGAGGAAATAGTTTTTCTGGTGGTCATGGCGGAGAGGAAATGCAAACCTCAGTCGTGGTAATGACAATAAGATGTGCAATCATTGTGGTAAGATGGGCCACACTGTGGACTCCTGCTACAAGAAACATGTCTTTTGCCCACATTTTAAGTTCACAAAACAGAACACCAACCATTCTTTTGCCAATGTAGCCTTCCACAGTGATGAATCTGAACCCTTAAAGGAAAATCAGGGGCAACAATTTGGTTTCATCAAAGTGCAGTATCAAGGCCTAATAACTCTTTTACAGCAGTCGCAGGTGTCTAATAACGGCCAATAACTTCCAGTTCTTCCAGTTCACCTGCGTGTACTGGTAAAATCCTTCCTTTCAGCACATGGATATTAGATAGCGGAGCAACAGACCATATTTGTTTTTGTCTTTCTCATTTTGCATCATATCACCAAATCAAACCCATACATGTTACGTTACCAAATGGAAATAAGGTTATTGCATATTACTTTGGAAGTGTCTTTTTAACCAAAACTCATGTTTTACATAATGTGCTTTACATACCTTGCTTTAATTTTAACCTCTTATCTGTTACAAAATTGATTAAAGACCTCTCATGTGTTCTCACTTTTGGTTCCATTCACTGTAAAATTCTGGACAAGAACAACTTGAAGATGATTGGTATATTCTGGATGGTCTTTACACACTGAGAGTGCCTTCTTACCATACTTTCCCACATACTCAGACCCCTTACTGTATCACAACTGTTAGTTTAGCCTCTATTGGTATTGATGCTCTTTGGCATTTTCGTCTTGGTCATGTTTTCAACAAATGTCTTGATGTGATAAAGAGCAAGTTTCCTTTAGTCAAGATGATTGGTATGTTTGTGATGTTTTCCATTTGTCTAAGTAGAAAAAGTTACCCTTTCCTATTAGTAATTCTGTTTCTGTTAAATGTTTTGATCTAATACATACTGATTTGTGGGGACCATATTCCATTCCATTTGTTCATGGACATAAATATTTTCTCACTATTGTTGATGATCATTCACGCTACACTTGGGTTTTTCCTTTAAAACAAAAATCTGAAACTGCTAAAATTGCAGGATTTTGGTACTTTTATACAAACCCAATTTGACAACATGATAAAAACCATAAAAAGTGAGAATGGAACAAAATTTTCCATAACTGATTTTTATGCTAACGAAGGAATAATACACCAAACTTCTTATGTTAACACACTTGAACAAAATAGCATTGTAGAAAGAAAACATGGCATTTATTGAATGTAGCAAGAGCTCTAATGATACAGTCCAATTTACTGAAAGTATATTGGTCTTATGCTGTATCACATGCTGCCTTCATCATCAATATGTTGCCTACACCAGTTTTAAAATTTTGTTCCCCACATAAGATTTTGCATAAGACTGAACTGGAATTTGCTCCATTAAAGGTTTTTTGTTCTCTTTGTTTTGCTAGCACTTCTCCTGTTAATAGAACCAAGTTTGATCCTAGAGCTTGCAAATGTATTTTTTTGGGTACAAGTCTGGCACAAAAGGGTATATTTTAGGTTTAATTATACAAATGGTCCCTATCGGGTGACTTTTCTCAAATAGATCTCTCACTTATTTTTTGTTTTAATTGGGTTTTTATTTTAGAAAAATTGAAACAATTAGGTCTTTGCCGTTAGTTTGGTGTTAGTACGGAACTAACGACAATGACTTAATTGCTTCAATTTTTCTAAAATAGAGATCCAATTGAGACAAAAAATAAGTGAGAGACTTATTTGAGAAAAGTCACTAGAAATATGGACTATCTATATGATTAAACCTATATTTTACTGAACATACAAACTAGAGAGTTATTTGTTTCTAGAAATGTTATTTTCTACGAAAGTGTGTTCCCATACTGCAAATTAGAAGCCAAAGGCAGTGAAACTAACAAAGGTCCCTCCCCCAATGATGAAAGCCATAACAATTATTCTCCTCTGTTTGACCCTCCAATTCAGACTCCCATTGATATTAGCCAGCGTCCTATTTGTGAAATTGATTCAGCACCAGAACCATCCTTTGTCACAACCCATCCTACCTCCGTAGCACCAAACTCAAGAGAAAGGGGTTTGATTCTCCGTGTACATTAGAAATAGATTATTCAACTGAGATGAATGCTATCACTACACCTGCTTGCTCCAGCACCAGAATAAGAAGGTCTCCTGGCTATTTTATGGACTATCACTGTAATATTAGCACGATCTCCAATCCGTCTTCCAAGGTTCTTTATCCTCTTTCTTCTGTCTTGTCATATGAACGTTTATCTCCTTGCTATAAATCTTATGTCATGTCTTTGTCTTCACATGCTGAACCAAGAAACTATACCGAAGCTATCACCTATGACTGCTGGACAGATGCTATTCAGGCTGAATTATGTGTTTGATGATAATCAAACATGGATTGTCACTGATTTACCTAAAGGGAAGGTTCCTATTGGCTGTAAATGGGTTTATAAGGCCAAATGCAGAGCTGATGGGACCGTAGAGAGACATAAGACTAGTTTAGTAGCGAAGGGCTACACTCAAACTGAAGGACTGAAATATTCTACACCTGTGGCTAAAATAACCACTGTGAGATTGATTTTATCTCTTGCTTCAGTGCTGAAATGAAAACTAAGGCAGCTTGACATTAATGATGCCTTCTTGCATGGTGAGTTAATGGAAGAAATTTAATGGTGGCCCTTCCTGGACGGAATGCGGTTTTACCAGGACAAGTGTGCAAGCTACAAAAGGCATTTTATGGCTTAAAACAAGCTAGCTGGGAATGGTTTGCTAAATTATCCTCTTTCCTTCTTTCTGCTGGCTATACACAGTCAATGCATGATCATTCTTTGTTTATTAAGTCATCTAATGATTCTTTCACAGCAATTTTGGTGTTCGTAGATGATATAACTTTGACAGGGAATAATGACCAAGAAATAGCATTGATTAAACAAGCTCTTGATGTTTCCGTCCGCATCAAAGATTTGGGAGAGTTGCGGTGTTTTCATGGTTTTGAAGTGGCATGGACAAGGAAAGGGATGCATATTTGGGAGAATTGTGGTTTTTTCTTGGTTTTAAAGCGGCATGGACAAGGAAAGGAATCTTAATGAACCTGGCCTTTTGGGATGCAAAATAGCATCTACACCGATTGATGATGCAAAAAGAGTTTCAGCAGACTCAGGAGAATTACTTGATGATTCTCTAGCCTATAAACGTCTTATAGGAAGACTCATGTACCTTACAGACACACGGCCAGATATAACTTATGCTGTGCATCATCTTGCACAATTCCTTTCCAAGACAACAACAGCACACTACATTGCTGCTCTCAGGATTCTTTGTTACATCAAAAAGGCACCAGGCCTAGGATTATTTTTCCCATCTGATTCTGCCCTTCAACTGAAAGCTTTCATGAAAGTGACTGGGCTGCTTGTCCTGATACAAGGAAATCTATTACAGGATATGGTGTGTATCTAGGCTTCTCACTCATCTCATGGAAGTCAAAGAAGCAAACCACAGTCTCCCAAAGTTCTTGCGACGCAGAATATCCATGGCAGTTGCAACTTGTGAAATTCAATGGCTTACCTTTCTCTTGCAAGATCTTCAAGTCCCTTTCAAGACTCCAACTTTGCTTTATTGTGACAATCAATCTGCTTTGCATATAGCTGCCAACCCAGTTTTCCATGAAGGGACAAAGCATATAGAGTCGGAATATCACATTGTTAGAGAAAAGACTCGACATGGGCTAATGAGATTATTGCCTATTTCTTCTTCTTGGCAACTTGCTGACATCTACACCAAAGCTTTGAGCCCCAAACATTTTCATTCTCTAGTTCCCAAGCTGGGTCTCCAGCTTGTGGGGGGCTATTAAATAACACAGACACACGTCACCTAGAGGGGAGCTGAATTAATTCTGTTTTGATTTATGGGACAGCTGTGCTTTCCCCTGCTGCATTAGTGGTGCAGTGCACCGATTACTGTTTTCTCTTTTCTATTAGCATAGGTGTCTATATTTTTTGTCGGTTAGTGTTTGGCTGTATCTATTTATTGTCTCTGCAGCTATGCCTTCATACAATGAAAATTGATACACTATTTTAGACCTAATTTCCTTTTTAACTTTTCTGATATTGGTACATGCTATTTCTCACTCTTACCTCAAATATCTTCCCTATTTGCCTTATGCTAAGGCTAGGGAAAAATATTTTCTTATGTTGCTTTATCCATTAAGAATTTATTGGGGGATAATAAATTGAGAATGCACGAGGAAAAAAGGTTTTTCAAGGAAGATATACGATTATTTGGAAAGCATTTCAGTAAGATCTAGAGGGACTTCTTCAAAATAGAAAAGAAATCAAGGAAACTTTTGTAATCTAGATTTAATGACATAATAAAACCCCTGTAGTTTCAGTTGGATAGGCATGGTTGTTTCCTCTTTTTTTTTTGTGCTTTTTGGTTATACAGTAAGATTCACCTATGACTAGTAGCAAGTGGGTGAATTTGGATTTCAGCTTTTAGGTGGAGTTTTGTTATGTGTTGTCTATTGTGATGTTTGGCTGATTTGTTTTCACTAATAATTTCCAAAGTACCTCCTTATTTCTTGTGTTATAGATAAGGATTTTGGAAAGGGAACGGTGTTAATAACAAAATTTTTGTTTTCACCATTTCCTTTACAAAATTTACAGAGAACTTTTGTGCGAAATAGTTTTATTTTGCATATTTGGGGATGTTGAATATACCGGTTTGAACAGAGGATTATGATGCTAAATAACTGAAGTTTGATGTTTCAAACTATGAAAGTGAATTGCCTTGTTTCTCATGCTTGGTTTATTTTAAATTCTGAACTTCATTTTATTGTTTTTTGCATTTAGTCTGTGATTATAATATTTATTATTTGTATACGTTTTTTATTGAAAAGTTAATTTGGACATCCCATACATGGCGCCAAAAGAAGCATGATTATTTCGGAGTCTAAACATGATAGGTTCCTAAACTGGGAACCTAATCAAGAACTCCCTCACAGTCTCTCACACCTAGAAAACAGAGAGAAATATATGGTGAATTGTGTATTATTAACAGAAAGAATAGTGTGTATACAAGATCCAGAGGCATAACCCTCTTCACATGTCAATGGCCTGTTAACAAACAATGTACTCAAAAACTGCCTTCTAACTATCCAAACAATCTATTTATACAATTCCTCTACCTTCTATCCTAATCCCATTTCCCATTATACCCTTATATCCCAAATACCCTATATCCTAACATTTTGATAGGTTTTTAAACTGGGAACCTAATCAAGAACTCCCTCACAGTCTCTCACACCCAGAAAACAGAGAGAAATATATGGTGAATTGTGTATTATTAACAGAAAGAATAGTGTGTATACAAGATCCAGAGGCATAACCCTCTTCACATGTCAATGGCCTGTTAACAAACAATGTACTCAAAAACTTCCTTCTAACTATCCAAACAATCTATTTATACAATTCCTCTACCTTCTATCCTAATCCCATTTCCCATTATACCCTTATATCCCAAATACCCTATATCCTAACATTACACCCCCCTCAGAACAACCTTGTCCTCAAGGTTGGAACCGGAAAGCTCGATCTCATGGCTCCTCTTCATCAACCTATTACCATATGAAGGGAACCCACTGGATGCTGCCCTCCAATTCAGGTCTGGAGGCTTGGGTGGTGGCGATTTCTCCTCCAATGACTTCCATTCTTCCTCTTTCCTTCTTATCACCCCCAAATTCCACACCAAGGTCCACGGTTCTACTTCCTTTATTTTTAACAAAGCTTCTGGCTCCCCCCACCTTCTAGCTAATGTTGGATCCCCCTTTCTGAATACCTTCTTCCCTCTTTGATTGAACACCCTAGTCAATACCGTTCGGTTTCGTCCAATAATGATCAACACCGTTTGGTTTCGTCCTATATTGGTCATCACTGTTCGATTTCGTTCTATAATGGCCGATACCGTTCGGTTGCTTCCTATAATGTGGACCACTGTTCAGTTTCGTCCTTTAATGGTCAATACCGTTCGGTCCCCTATCGAACATTGCAGCTTCATTGCTTTTGGCTGAATAGGGCCTCCAGTCGAGAGAGTGGACAACTTCGTCTGCTTCAGGTCTAATTCTGTCTCGGACCGCTCGGCAACCTAACCTGGGATATTGCGCTCGACCTCGGATTGCTCGGCAACATTTGATCTAACGTTCGGTTCCTTCCCACTAACTTCAACCGTTCGGTCCGTGTTGGTTTTCTTCCTATGCTCATCCCCCAAGCTCACCTGGTACGGTTGGGTATCCTCCATGGGTAAACCCCGATCCTTTACTAGTACCTTGCCTATGAAACTGTGGCTGGCTCCTCACATTCGTCCCCCAAATGACTCGTCTTCTGACCCGCGACCCACCAAAATCTTGAGGTCTTGTACAAACTCGTCCACCGTCCCTTTCTGTTTGGATGCTGCCAAACGCTCAACGATGGTTCCAAACCGTATCACAAGGGCTTCCTTCAAACCATTCCAAGAACGATTCTTGGCTTTCTCCTTCTAGGCTCTGAACCAGTTACCGCGCTTCCCTCCATGCTAATGGCTGCCCGTCGCACCTTTTCTTCCTCCTTCACCCCTTGGGTTTCAAAAACTGTCTCTGCCCTAGCAATCCACCCCATCACATCAAACCCTTCGAAAACAGGTAAATCTACTCTCCTCTCCCCGCTGGGTTGCACTTCATGGCGTTCATCCCCTCTCTCCCTTTCCTCTTCCTTTCGCCAGTCCCAATGTTGGTCGTCCTGGTTGTGGCCTCGACCACCCAACATCCTTACAATTTCTTGCAAACCTTGGCGTATTGCAGTATAATCTTGGCGTATTGCAGCATAATCTTGGCATATTGCTGCATAATCTGATCGTAGCTCCCCTGTCTGCACCGTCATTCTATCAACCGCAATTTCTTTCACCCTCACCCGATTCTGGCGCTGGTTCGAATCCGGCAGGTCGGACCAATTGATAGGTTCCTAAACTGGGAACCTAATCAAGAACTCCCTCACAGTCTCTCACACCCAGAAAACATAGAGAAATATATGGTGAATTGTGTTTTATTAACAAAAAGAATAGTGTGTATACAAGATCCAGAGGCATAACCCTCTTCACAGGTCAATGGCCTGTTAACAAACAATGTACTCAAAAGCTACCTTCTAACTATCCAAACAATCTATTTATACAATTCCTCTACCTTCTATCCTAATCCCATTTCCCATTATACCCTTATATCCCAAATACCCTATATCCTAACATTTTGATAGGTTTTTAAACTGGGAACCTAATCAAGAACTCCCTCACAGTCTCTCACACCCAGAAAACAGAGAGAAATATATGGTGAAATGTGTATTATTAACCGAAAGAATAGTGTGTGTATACAAGATCCACATAGGTTAATGGCCTGTTAACAAACAATGTACTTAAAAATTGCTTTCTAACTATCCAAACAATCTATTTATACAATTCCTCTACCTTCTATCTTAATCCCATTTCCCATTATACCCTTATATCCCAAATACCCTATATCCTAACAAAACATGACTTGATACTATTTTCTTTTACATACATAATAAATTTAGACTCCAACATGATATGGTGGATGATATTAAACTGATATGCTGAGCAGAAAAATTCACTGTGATTTTTTGAAAAGAATCATCTGCTACTGCTATTGTTTCTAGCCATCTAGGTTGCTATTCTGTACAAATATTTGCTATCTGGTGGTGCCTAGTCAGAATGTTATGCCAAAAAACCATGTAAATCTTGGAAGATACATGGAATTGTGATTCATGCCATGACTAAAATGCTTGAGCAAGAATTTTGGTTTAATTTTCACCAATTTTTACCCAAAAATGTTCTTTTCATAAGCCATACATTTTGTATTTATATTTACTTACATAGTAGAAATCATTTTTTTCCATTGACAGAAGGTACTCTTACTGAGCACATAGACTAATTTTTTTTGTTCTTTTGTTTTCCAGTGATATCCAAATATCTTAGTAAGGACAACACAGACTTTGACCATCATAATTGAAGTGGCTGTATCCAGGCATCTATGATATCTTCTATAGCTCAAGCTATTAGAGTGCTATTGTTAAGGTTTATTAGCTATTGGATCTTTGGATGAAAGGATATGTTAATGATAATATTAATACACATTAATAGTCCAATTGCAATTCCTGCTCCTCTTTTTCCTTTTGAATGTAAATAGATGAGCCAAAGTTCTGTGTATAATGCCTCTACCAATGTTTGGATGTAACTGAATTACTAGACTTTGGTGTTGTTTGAACTCATGTCAATTTTATAATGATGAGTATGTTTACCATGTCTTATCAATTCCTGAGGAACTTTGTAAAAGTAGGTGAGGACTTTGTTTATAATGTTATATCAATTTCTGAGACATGGATGTGGGTCTGTTTGCTTACTCACAGTAAGTAATACTGTTGAGAAATATTTTCCTAGCATGAACATGTTGTGAATTGAGTACTTCTGTTTACCTCTGTCATAATCAGATGCATTAATCTAGTGAAAGCATATATAATGGTTTGGACTCACTTAGCCACACTTTTGATGTCAATGTTCACAACATCACACATTTATAAAAGCATCGAAATGCATCACTTGGAACACCGTAAACTATACAATATATATTTATTGTATAGTTTTGTTCGAACTATATTGCATTTCGGTAAAAATAAACGTCAAGTTTATTACATGAATTCATTTTTAGATACACATTTGATATTTATGTTCCTATTTAATATATTTATTTGTTTTTTTTTATATAGAAATGTATGAGTACGAATTATAAGTGTTTATCATGTAAACTTTTAGTTTATTAAGTAATTGAAAAATTCATCTTCTATTTACTTTTCAGTTCTTAGTTTTATTTTATTTGAAGAATTATTTTCTTGTTATGTAATTTTTTATTCTCTCTTAACTCGTTCTATAACTACTAAGTTCACTCAAATTAATGTATTTTCTCTTTTAATATTTTGCAAAAATAATATATATGTTGTAATTGTTATGAAATTTTAACTATACATTGTAACAACTCAATTAGCAGCATCATATAACTAATTAGGCCATTCATATGACATAACAAGTATATGTTATTCTAATATATTTATTTCTTTGTTATTTATGTTTTCTAAAATTTAAATTCGCAATTAATGAAATGTAATTTTATAAATTTTATAAACATTTAAAAGTTATCTATAATTGATTTAAAGATTAGTTGTACAGTGATAAGTTAAAAAATTATTTCAAATTTTCACTTGTTACAATAATTTATATACATATTTTATATATTGTTTCTAATTATTAAATTTATTTAAAAAATTGTATTATTTATTACAAATAAGCATTGAATTATTTATTATAAATAATATATAATAATCTTTTTAACACAAAACCCATCCGGATTGAATCGGGACAGATATTAGAAAGTGATTTTTAAACCTAACTCAATTTCACAAAACTGACTTGTATGTGAGATTTGCATATCTATTTATATATTATAATTTGACCTTATTTCTGGTTGATGTGAGACTTTCAATAATTTGTTTAATTTATTTTAAACTTAACCCATTACATTATATAGCTAACCATTATAAAAATATTCAATAATTATTCAAATTTATACATATATATAATATTTTGATAATTTTTTATTCACTATTTTAATTCAAAATATAATATATAAAGTTAATCAATTTTACAAAATATTTTTTTTATTAAATATTAAATATAGTTAGAAAAATAACGTACATTGTACAGGTTTACCAATTGCATACATATGATTTACACGTAGAAATTGTCAACAAATAGTTGCAATAACAAAATAACAATAAGTAGATAAACCAACCTATTATAACCCTAGATTTTACTATGAATGTTGAGAATATAGTCTCTTATTTTTCTTTTAAGTTACTATGTTTATCTTTAACATCAACTTATGCCTGGTAAGAGGCAAATGCTATGAGAGGAAATTTTCTACCACAGGTCAACCCTGCATATTCAGCCATGTCGAGTGTCTGATCACCCATTACTCCACCTGGCACTTCCCAATTAAACTGATGAACAAGGTTTGCTATGACCAACTCAATCATATTCATGGCAAACATTATTCCTGGACAACCTCTTCTTCCTGCTCCAAATGGTATCACTTCAAAATCATGTCCTTTCACATCTATTGAACGCTTTAAGAATCTCTCTGCTTCAAACTCTTCAGGTTTTTCCCAATAACAAGGATCTCTTGCTATTGCCCAAGCATTAACTATTACTTGTGTGCCTGCTGCAATGTCATAGTCCATCACTTTGGCATCATCCATGGATTCCCTTGGAAGCAACAAGGGAGCTGGGGGATGTAATCGAAAACTTTCTTTAATCACTGCTTTCAAATAAGGCATGCTGTTTAAATCTTCCTCAGTTATGCGAGTTCTACCATCAACCACATTCCTTATCTCATCTTTTAGCTTCTGCATCACATTTGGGTGCCTCAAGAGTTCTGTCATTATCCATTCTAGGCTTGTGGAGCCAGTTTCAGTGCCTCCGACAAACATATCCTGAAACAAATTCCCATCAACTGTCAATTTCCCTGTCTACCTTCAAATTCCATGAAGGACATATTCAACAAAATGAATTCACCAATTAAAGATGTTATTTCTAATATTGTATGAATGTTGCAAATACAAAATTAATGAATAAACCTCTGGATTAATGTTTAAGATATGTAAACTTCCGACGGCTTATCTTAAGACTTTTCTCACATCATCTTTGATATTAAGGATTGAACTAAATGATGTTTAAGAAAAGTAAAGATTTTGTTAAGTTAGAAATATAGAGTGGTTGTATATTAAGAACTTATGCAGATAGATACCACATTGTATTAATCTTGCGTACCTGGATTATAGCCTTCATGATTGTTTTATCAATCTGGAACCCCAAGGCGTTTGTCTTTTGGATCCTCAGCAAAATGTCTACCAAATCATTCTGTTCATCGTCATCATCATCATCACCATGCACATCATACCCTCTTCTACTTACATGCTCATCAACAACTTCATCAAAAAATTCACTAAGCTGTTTAGCCAATCTCTTTGCCCTACCATACATTCCATTAACTCTTCCCACCCAATCAAGCCAAGGTATACAATCCCCTATAACTGGAGCACCCAACATCTTCATCATCTCGTTCATTGGCTCCCAAAACTTACTCCCTTCTCTTCTGCTGTATCTCCTTCCGAGAACAGCTCTGCACACTATGTCATTTGTGACCGTAGAAAATAAATCAGTTAAATTCACAGGCGTCACAGAACAACAACATTGCTTAATCTTATCCATCATTATGGAGATTTCCTCTTCTCTCACTGCACCGAAGGATTGAACCTTTTTTGCACTGAGAAGATGCAAGACAGAGATACTCCTTATCTGCCTCCAGTAGTTGCCATATGGAGCAGATGCCACATCTTTGGAATCGTACAAGAAGATATCAAACATCTTACGATGTGGTCTATTGGAGAAAACAAGGTCATGGGTTTTCATAACCTCACGAGCTGCCTCGGCCGTTGAGACAACAAGAACTGGCACCTTTCCAAAGTGAAGTAACATTAAAGGGCCATAGGTTTGAGCAAAGGAATGGAGAGTGCGGTGAGTGAGAGTGCCAAGTTGGTGGAGATTTCCTATTATTGGAAGCTTTGGAGGAGATGGTGGTAAGGTTTTTCTGGCCATTGCAGAATTGAAATTATGACTGCATTTGATGACAGTTCGTAAAAAGAAGATGATTAAGGTAGCGATTGGAAGGAAAAACCAGATTGAAGAGTTTTCACGCAGAGAAGTTGACATTGTGTACTGTGCTTTCTTTAATTTGATGTCTAATAAGCAATGCAGAGAATGAGGTATTTATAAGCGTCGGAAGTCATCAACATTAATAAAATACGTGTATTTGAGAAAAATATGTATACGTTTCATTATTTAGACACGCTAGCTCAACATGCATGCAATTTCTTATTGTTGAATCCAGGGATGATTAATATGCTACCTAAACGACCTAATTTTCTCTTAGGACATGAAATAAATTAAAATTGAAGTTCATGTTTGGCAAGTATTTTGAGGGATTGTCGGATGAGATACAATATTAATATACAGAAGTCAAAATTTTATAGAAATAATTAAGCTTTATAGTAATCAATGTGGGATTACTCATACTGGATTCTCAAGAATATATTGTATAAATAAAATTATATGCTTCAAGATTAAAGATATGATGGTGTTTAACATTAATCAACCTTTTTAAATACATGGGAGAGATTCTTACTCATCAATTATTCATTCTCTCATTTATTATAATATTATTGAAATCTTTTTAAATTTTGTTGAGTAACAGTGCTTATCAATTTGCCAAAAAAAAGAAAGACAGAAAGAAAGTAACGTAAAGAAGAATGCTATGCTATCCTAATTTTGTAAACTTATATTTTAACACGTGTTTTCATTATTAATTTGTATCTGAATATGTGGTGATTATGAAAGTATATGTACGAAGGTTACGTTTCTAGATTTTTTTTCCAATGACAGCACGCATGCAGTACTTGTGTTCCATAATATTTAGAGATTAGGTTTAGAAAATTCATCAAGGTTCTAGACATTAAAATGCTCTTCAATTAGAACTCTATTTTTGTTTCATTTGGTTCAAAAACCCCCAAAAGTTGGAACCTAGACTTTTCTAGAACTGATGTACCAAAATCAGATGATACTAAATTTTATCTTAAGAGTAGAAAACAATAGTACGAGGCATTAATCATGTGTAAATGAAATATGTGTTACTTCTTGCAAACTTCTTCACTTTATCATTTTGTATTGTTTGAACTTTGGATATGCTATGCATTGACTTTCACTGCCGTCCAGGGTAAGATCATCTTATGATAATAATCTGATTTCATATTATAAATTTCAACAAGGCATTTCTTTTTTCTTCCCAATAAATGATTTTTAAACTTAAAAATGAAACATTGTTGTTTAAGTCTCTATTTAAATTTTAGTTATATATTTTTTTAACATGTTTAATAAAAAAAATTATGCCTTTTTAACTTTCGATCTAAGACTAAATTCAAGTTTTTTTTTAAGAAATCAAATATAATTAGGAACCAGTTTAAAAAAATCATATTTTTTTAGATTAAAAACTATATTTAAGCTTTTATAGAGATGTATATGGATGAAAGTTTTTTCATATAATTAATGTGTAGCTTCCCAATCTGATTAGTTGAACAGAACTTATTGTCTGGTTTTGAAAATGATAGCTATCTGTATGTGATTATTCTCTAATATTTTTATTTGATCTAGTATGAAGGTTTTATTTAGCTTTTTAGTTGGTTTGGCGGCTTCTAATTATTTATTTCCTTATTCGTATTCTTTTCATATATTCATCATCGAATAATGTGTTGTTGTATAGTTGATATATGGGTAAAAGTACCCAAATGTTGTATAAGTTTGGTCCTTGTCGTTTTGTTGATGGAAACAACTTTTATCTGATCTAGTCTAGAAAATACTATCAAAGTTTAGGAAAAGAAAAAAAAATCAAAGCCCAAAATTATAAGTCTTATATACATAATCCCTAGTAAAAAATTATTTATTACCGCGCACATTATGCATCGGTTAACCAGAACTCGAAGCATAATATTGCGCGGTGTCATTTTTGAAATTATATCGACAGTATAGGTCTCAATTGCAACAGAACCGCAACCGTATACACCCTTACGCCGCGGTTCTTCAAGGAACCGCGGCCTATAGTCCCTGCAAAATTCTGACATCCCACCCAAGTCAGTCTGAAATCAGACACACAGGGAATAGGCCTCGGTTCTGGGGCGACCTGCGGTCTGTTGTCCCTGCAAAATTCTGACATTCCCACCTAAGTCAGTCTGAAATAAATTTAAAATCAGACAGTCAGGGAATAGACCGCGGTTCTAGGGGAACCGCGGTTTATTGTCCCTGTAAAATTCTGACACTCCAACCTAAGTCAGTCTGAAATAAATTTGAAATCAGACAGTCAGGGAATAGGCTGCGGTTTTGGGGGGAATCGCGGTCTATTCCCTGCAAAATTTTTGAAATTCCCGCCAAAGCAGTACTGAAATAAATTTTGAAGTCAGACCGTCAGGGAATAGACCACGGTTCCCCCCAGAACCACGGCCTATTCCCTGATCTGAACAAATTTTAAATATTTAAGACAATAGGCCTCGGTTGGGCGGGGAACCGCGACATAAAGGTTGAAAAAAATTTCAAAATTGCCATTTCAAAACAATTTTAAATTTTTATTTTAAGAGAATAGGCCTCGGTTATGTTGGGAACCGAGGCTGTATCCCCTTTATTACCGCAGTTTTTCAATGAACCGTGGTAGTAATATTTGATTAGGTTAAAAAAAATATTATAGAGTGAACAGTTTCGTCTTCCTCGAACAGTTTCGTCCCCTCTAGCCATTTTCTCTCCAACGACGTTCTTGCCGCCGCGATCTTCCTCCATTCGTTCTTCCGCCACTGTTGCGCCGCCTCCGTCACTATAGAAGGATTTCCTTCATCATTTTTCATCACCTACGTTTGTATCCGATCAAATTTGGCTTTGGTCGTCGGAGTTTTTTCGTTTTTTTTTTTAGTTTTTGGGTTGGTTTGATACGTTTGTTTATTGATTCGGATTATCAAACTTACATTTTGTTGTATTGTTTTATAGGTATTGTGTTTTTTCTTTATTGTGTGGTTTTTCACGCTCCCAGGTTCGTATTATTCTGTTTATTAATTTTCATTTTGTACATTTTTAATTTTTTGTAGGTTGAATATGAATAATATTGTATGATTGAATGTTTGAATTGATAATTTGAATGCTTATTAATTGTTTGATTGTATGATTGTATTATTCTGTTTATTTTATTTTGTTAATTTTTTAATTTTTTGTGTGTTGAATATGAATAATTATGTATGATTGAATGTTTGAATTGATAATTTGAATGTTTATTAATTGTTTGATTGTATAATTGAATTGATTGTATG